ATAAAAGTTTTTCTTGATATCCTGAACATAGATCACTGCTACCGCCGAATCATCAAACTGTGGTCGACCGGCTCGGCCAATCATTTGCAAGGCATCTGAAAACTGGTAAGCATGGGAATAATTTATTAACAGCCAGCACCATCAAAAAGTTCCAAACGGAACAATCCTATCCCTACATGGGCCATTAATCCCCGTTTATTATTTCGTCAAAACTAAAATGCGCAGACAATTAGCATTATTTGCGTGCAGTAGTTTCTACAGCACCTCACTGTGGTCGAGAATTAGCAATGGGGCGATGATGATGCCCAAAAAAACACAAAGAACATCGTGAAACTACCAAAATCTTACTAAATACTTCTGTCGAAAGAACCGTTATGATTTCTCGAGGCGAAAAGGATGTGAGGAATCAAAAACAAGTTCACCGTCAGATAATACCAGAGCAAACAGATAAGTTGTCAGCAGTTCAGTTAGAGAATTAGACTATGAAACAATAACGCTTCCTCGTATTAATAGAAAAAAGGCCAAAAGAAAATGCAAGAAAAAAGTTTATGCACAAAGCTCCAAATTCGACATTCGATTTTCTCAATCTGACTTGTATGCTAGCTAAGAAGCATACCTGTGACCGGAAAATCAATGTATTTATGAGTCTTCCCGTCGTAATACTCAGTCCCTTTGATGATTACCAGATGTGCGGGAAGATTGATTCCCCACGCCAATGTTGCAGTGGCCACTAAAACTTGGATCTTCATCTCCACATACAGCTGGAAAAAACAATTCTGTAAAAATACTCTCTTTTATACAGAACTTGAAATGCTCCCCTTGATTCCCCGGACCATAACATGTAACATGCACTGGCTGATAAAAGAAACCTTTCATGCTTAGCCTGATCAGATGGGGCCAGATCTGTATTAAAATGCTGCAAAAAAAGCCAAAGTCGTGTCTAAAACATAATAATAAAGCATGGCTAGATCTGGTCTTACGCGAACATATGCAACAGAAATAAGATTTGTGTGGATATATCCAGAAGTGTAGACAGAACTGCGCAGAAGTACATATCCCAAAAATAACCGAATCTGCGAAGGTCAATAACCGCTGCAAGGACCTCAGAACTCGATCCACAAATTTCTTTGGAGAAATTGGCTTTTCAGAGCGTGCGTGTCGCAAAAAATGTGATAGAAACGAAAAACAAAGCCTAAAAAGGAAGTTCCGCAAATGGCAACTTGCATATTACCTGTTCGACGATATTCTTTTCATGCTGCTGCAGGCCGGCATGGTGCAGCCCAATGCCAAACGGTAAAGTCAACTTCAGATTCTCGTCCTTCAATCCGACGATTATTTGTTCAAGCTAGAAATTAAATCAACAATAACTTCTGTCCTAAAATCATGTATTCCTCAAAATCACTACATATTTAAGATTAAAATTTCATGGAACTACAAAGGATTTAAATTTCTTCATACAGATTCTTCATGCACAGATAAAAACAATGCTTCACCTATATCCAACCTACAGTTTGTTTTTCTAAACTGTGCAGCGAAATAATTCCTAATTCACGATTGTTTTTCACCCTCTTTTACAATAATTAGCTCAAAAGTGAAAACAAGAATGTCTGAACTAGGTTTTAAACTACTTTTCGTCAACCAATAAGTAAATTATGGACCCCCCCCCCTACGTCCAGCCCCAGAAGATGACTGTTTTGCGGCTAAATCAAAAATATGGATAAAATATTTCACACTTTTTTCTGAGTCATGGCATTTGCTACCTGCCAAAGTTGTCCATGAAAGACTGTTTTTACGAAACCCTAATGCCAAAATGCCGGATTCTTCAGTATCAAGTCCAAGAAGACAGAATAGCTGGACTGACAGTGCAGAAGCTCTGAAGTCGCAATTGTGCAGCCTTTCAAATAAAAAGCTGGAACTACTTAGATTCAAACAGGA